GGGACTAAGCCTAGTGGAGAGACTTGAATGTTAGGGAAAGGAGGTTCCATAAATGGACCTGCTATGCGAGTATTTTGCAATTCTTGTTGAATTCTCTGTTTCAGGATAGATTCTTTCCCTTGAATAGAAGGCAAATTTGAGGAGAGGCGAAAATGCCTAGGCCCTTGATATGGAATTTTAAAACCAAATTTAAAACCTTCAATTAAAAAGTTTGCCAAAGTGCAGTCATACCCTTCCAAGTAGGCAGCTAGAATAGTGTGTTTTATAGGAGTTGTTATTTTACTGTTTATTTGAGGTGGAGGGCTTGAAGGAGTTTGTGTTGTTGTCCCTGGTGATTTGTTTGGGTTTGTTTTGTTTGAATTTTGGGCAGAGTTTGCGACAATGTTTACCTGCACAGATTTGACAAACATGTGGGTGGGGGCATGCAGACCTTTTAGATCACCCATCGTACACTTACTTCTATGCAACTACTGTATTTCTCTGATATGAAATGAAAGGAAATGACGTAATCCATCAACTAACCAAGGGAAGGAACTCGTCTCTCTACGTCTCCATCACATTAAAAAATAGCACGTTATATGAATATTACGATCAGTTTTTTTCTGTTTCTGATGAAATGGATAACTACACACTCTTTCTACGAGGGCCTTCTGCGGGAACTTTAGGTAAGTAATAAGTAAAATATATGGCTATGAAAGCACTCACATACACGCACAAAGAGAGAGAAAGAGAGAGAGAGAGAGAATTTCTTAGAAGATATGCAGATTAGGAACATAACAATTACTTTAGCTACTCTTTGTTACTGAACCCCCTCTTCTCTCTCTCTCTCTCTCTCTCTCTCTCTCTCTCTCTGTGATAAAAGTTATGCCTTCAATCACTTCATTAATCGTATTTTTTTTTTTTACTGGACTTACAAGTCATACAAAATTTACCGTTATTAAATTCGGTCAATAAGTTTTGAAGATAATATTTCTATACCTTTTCTACCATACAATATTTCCATATCTTTTTGAAATTTTTGGTAAATATAAAGGAAACCTATCGGAAAGCATACAAATTATTATTTATCAAATATTTGCTGTAATATCACTTGTCTGTAAAATAATGAATTTATTTTCATGTCAATTAACAAAAAGAAAGTCAATTAAATCTTCTTAAATATTGAATTATTGTTTTCCTTCCATGTTGCTAATTTTTTTCCCAGAAACCATTACTTTTTTTTGTATTTTCATCTGCCAAACTTTCCCTTGATTTTTCTGTTTTTCATTTCTAAACCGATTATTTAATTGTCTGTTTAATATTTTTCGAAAAATTCCTTTAATTTTATGCTTCTTGTCTTTGAAAATATTCCTTAAATTTTCTGTTTTTCGTCTGTCAAAACAATTCTGAAAATATCAAACATCCTGTCCCACTCGTGAGATAAATTCCATATCCAACTACAAAACATTGAATATCCTCTATTTATCATCTAGGTGACATTTGTTACATAGTCATAAGGACTTCGATTCCAATGGAATGGCCTTCAGTACACGAGATAGAGATAACGATATATGTCGTTCTCAGTGTGCTTCTGGTTTCCGGTTTCAGAGGAAGATGGTGGTTCAGCTGTTGTCGTCTGGCCCTCCTAAATGGCCCCTGGTATTCCAGTTCCTGGTATTTGCCGTGGAATCCCATACTTCGTGATGGCAGAGAGATAAAGGAGACCCTCATGATGATAAAGCCTCACTTAACGTGTTGAATAATGTTCATGATGGGTCCTCTCGATATCCAACTGTAACTGAAGACAAGTGAGATGAAGATGACTTTTGTGTTAATTACGCCTCAATAAGCGTACAAAATGATATCCATGACGTTTCCAAGATATTCTACAGTTACTGATGTCATAGAGATTACGAAGACCCTGATGATCAAAAAGCGTATATAATTGTACTGCTTTTCTCTTAGAACGTGTTATGAATGTATTGGATATGATACTTTATAATGAATAAATTTTCGTCCATTGCACTTTTCAATAAGCATATTTAACTGTATACATTTCCAATAAACTGTTCTGAGTATTTCTGAAAATTGAAGAATATGAGCAAGTTCTTTTCCTTTTTTGGTTCGTCATACACATCTAGAAATCATTTATGTTAGCTTGCACTAAATTGTAAAACAATAATAATTTGTTACCCCTTCAGCGGTCAAAACTGCATTTGGAGTGGTTGAGTATGCAGTAAAACTTCTCTAAACCGGACTGACTGAAATGGCCTGATGAGAAAAGTGACCGGTTTACTGAGAATTTACTATGTAGTGATGGTTTATCATGAGACATATTTGAGAAAAAATGCATTCCAGCAGTATTATGTAGAATTTTAGCTAATGTTGTAACAAACAATACACACAGTCATCTGTATATCAAAAACCAGTTTTCAAGCTAAAAAATGTCTATGGATTAAATATTGAGAAAAAACTAATTGTAGTAGCCATTCTATTAGTCTCTTTAATAGGGTTACATAGATGCACAAGGTAGACACTTTTCACTTTGATGCTGGTTTCTAAGTTCGGCATCTTGTATAATTATCTATCAACATCTAATTAATTATCCTCTTGTACCTAATTTGTACAAGATATAAGACATTCACCTCAAATATTCTCTTATTAGGTATAATAACCACAAATACTGTTAATTCTTTTTAAAAAATCAAATTATAAGTAGAACAGACAAAGGAAGAGTACTTACTTCATCTTTTTATCTGAGCACCATAGATGTACATGTATATCGTTTACATCATTCACAATATTGTTTCAAATTTTTGTGAAAATTAACAATTTAAAAATTTATGTGGAAAATTTCAGTTTTTTTAAATCATGAAATATGTACTTTGATACACATGTGTTTTTCGGTTTCCAAGTCTTCATTTAGCATACAAGTGTAAGGCCGCTTATATCCACTAAAAGTATGATACAACACAAATACCATTTATCATAAGGCATTTGATATCAAGTTATATAATTTATAAGGTTAAATCATGTTTACACAACTTACACTGATCTTTTAGACAAGCCAAGTAATTGTTCACCCCTTTACAGCATGGTTAACAATCTAAAACCCATGAGGTCATTTTCATTTTTTCACAGCTACAAGATTCTAAAAAAACTTTTTAATTTTGTAAAATTGGCCGGTGTTCAGTTTTCAAGGGTCGCCAGTTTTGAAAAAAAATATCTGTAAAAGAATGTTTAGATTTCTGCCGGGACTTTAAAACTCTGCCGATATATAGGGAGGATCAGTTTTCAGGGAATCGATTTTAAGAATTTTCACTGTAAACACCAAGTCAAAATAAAATATGAAAATAAGCGGTATACTGTCTGCTAGAGCTTTAAGGAATTAAAATAATGAGTAATCACTTGCTTGACTGTCATTTACTAGTGAACCTTTATCCATGCTGTTGTTTGATGATAGTGATTGGAAATCTTATTTACAAACTAACGCTATTCCATGCACAAAGGTGTGTTTGTCTTGAAACGTTCGATTAAAAAGACCTCATAATCTTATTAACGTGTTATGATTGATAGATATTTATCACACAATGTACATTATAAAGCTAGGAAACAACGATTTTCAATGATTTTTAGTCTTCTAAAATCAAAAGGCGAAATGCTTGTGTAGTTACAATTAAAATGATTTAATTTAAAATTCTTGAAAATGGGTTACTCTATTCCGTTAATTACATCATGAAAAAATCATTTCGTATTTTCATTCGAATTGCATGTATTCCATTCACTTCTTCTGTTAGAAGAATGGTAGAGGAATATATGATGAAATAAAAAAAAAAAAAATCACGAGTGTGTTTCATAAGCAATTCACAACTTTTTTGTGCTTACATGTATAATGCATAAAAGCAGTTTAAAAACTACAGAAAGTTCTGTATTATTAGGAATGAGAAAATGCTATCAAAATTTTGACAAACTTGTAGCATTTATTGCTGTATTAATGTCGTATAATTATTTATACGACAGTAAAACAAAAAAAAATCATTACTTAACATGTCATATAATTACATATCTAATAATTACACACTATTATTTACATATATTTTACATACATATACACGAGAGAAAACCTAATATTCCATTTGTTGTGGAGAATCATCCCTAATTATCAATATCTGGTGTTATTCACTATTACTACATTTCGTTTCAATGTAAGAATGCAATAAGGAAAGAATCTTTTCGACGAAAGTATTTTTTCACTTCTGTATTTTTTTTCTTAAAATAGATAAATGAGACTTTATTCGTAGTCTTTTTAAAATTGTATAAAAAGGTTTCCTTCCCGAATACAGGTATTTAAATATATTATGTATGTCAATATAATTAACCGAGAAAAAGGGAACAAAGAGAAGATCCTTTTCTGCTTACCTTGTCTCCACCCAAGGTCAATGACGGCAAAGAGAATGAAAAACTAAGCGTAGTATTTCACATTTCGGAGAAAGATAAACATCCCTGTCAGAGCAAAAACAAAAACGAAACAAAACAAAACAAAACAAAAAAAACCCCAGTTACTTCCCTATTGTTGTAAGTCATGAACATGAAACTTCCGTTTCATAAAAAATGGAATTATGAACAATGCACATAATCTATTACGAAATCTTCCATATTTACATAATTCATAAAATATTTGAAAGTTGTATACATATATTTTCAAACAAAAAGTACAGCAATATGTTTTAGAAAGCTAATTAAAATTTGATGAATCAAGTAACTGTGTTCATATACAAAAATAAATTCTTAAATTACACAGATACTGATTTCAGTTCAGTGAAAATATTTTAATAATAATATCTACATATGTTATGCATCTTTTGAATAAATTCGAACCGGGATAAAATTGTGCTTTAATAACGATTCATGCATACATGTATGATGTTTTATGGGGACAGCATAAAAAATCATTAAGATTAAGCTCTTTTTAAACTTGTATCCAATATATGCATATAAACATGTACTCTGGTATCAAGAAAGAAAAAAAGCTTTACTTTAAAGTAGACTTGTAGAATTTTCGTTATTGTTCACAAAGGTAAATAAGATTGCTTTGATTACAGATCACCGAATAAATGATATGAGAGTATTCCTTATAGATCGATATCTAGAGTTTGCATAAACTAATCCATTCTGTATAAAGTCGGCCAAAACATCATTGCAGAATTCGTATTCTTCCTACAACAGAACAAAAGTTATTCTAAGCGCTTCAGAGGAAGAATGCCTCTCGTAACAATGACCTAGTTAGCAAATACAATTTATCACTAAGTCAAATGCTGACGAACGTTTTTCATACTAATTGTTAGGCCATTATTTACAAACAGATTTGTCGACGGATTTTTTCCGCTATTTCCCGATCCTGACAAGGAACACACTGCGGATGTGACAGATCGTCAGGATATGCTTACTCATCAATGGCACCTGATCCCACCTCTGATGTTCAAGAGGTCCGTGTTTGCTCTGCTCCAAAATTTGTATAGTTTAATGGAGTTTTGAGTTTGAATACTGTTCGTTATCTCTATATATTTCAAATAAGAAATATTTTGAAGATTCATTAATCTTACTTTCCTCTCATTTTGACATACCCATGTGGAAATAAATTCTGGCCTTCTTAATTGGAGTAGACGTGTAATTACGAAAATATCCACTTCTCTATCAAGAGATATCTGTTGCACAGCATTGTACACAACACAGAAAGGTCCACAACGTTTTGCACCATCACTGTAAAACAAGAAATGATTTTTCCATTTCTACAGACAAGTTTACATGTATGTGAATAATACTTATGCATTTTGATTAGCTTTATGTAAAAGGATAGGAAAGGCATAAGAATTGTTTAGATACCTCGACAAGACCAAGAGTTTTGAGTCAGACCGTATATTTTCATATCCTATTTCATTTACAACATCAAGCAGCACCTTTCGATTTGAAGAAGACAGTTTTTCTGTCCATGACGTACATTCAATTACTTTCAAATTCATATCAGGACATCCCTGAATAAGATGTTTAACACAATCATGGCTTCATTTTTCTAAAGGAAATAATCAAATATTACATGTGTATTTGCAAAATTGATGTCAAATGTGATATTTTATTGATAAACCTTGCTTTGAAGCACAATATCTCTGATTGTTAAATTTGTTGAAGAGGTCGAGTCAGTTAGTTTTATCTTGAATGATCCAACTGTTTTATTCTTTCCATTAAATGGGAACCATCTCGTGGACTGAAATGAGAGTGTGAATATCTATCTACAACAGAGGATGAAACTCTGCCTTTCAGTCGACTGACTGAATGGTCACTGAAAGGTCTTGAAAGGTGACTGAATGACAGAGCTCTGCCATTCAGTCATCCTTCAGTAAATTTTCAGTCGTCTTTTAGTTAACTGAATGGCAGAGTTTCATCCTGTGGAAATAAAAGAAAGTCACAAAAGGAGCAATTGTTCCTTTTTTCAAAATCATTAGCTGCTATTTTTCTTAAAATGCAATGTTCAAACAATCTGTGGGCATTGATTTTCAAATTAGCCACAAGGATGTCCTTTTTACGTACTTTGGAATTGCACATCTATAAAACATTTTTATACATTTTCTTCTATTTACCGAGGATACGTCTTTAAGAGGGCACGTAAATATCACAATGTAAACACTGAAGTCTTTCAACAGTCGTAGGAAATCTTCTGTGTAGTCAGGAAGTGGATACTGGGCGCTGATGAGACTGTCACTACTCGTGAAAGACTACAAATTAATAAGTTCTTTAGATTTTTTGGAGTGACCAAAGAATACGTTTTTGAAACGATTTCTTTTCATGTTTTGTAGGCTGTTTTCTGAAATGACAAATTAAACACCAAAATACCTGAAGAACAACTGCGTTGCAATGCGTTTCTCTGTCCTTTACGTTTGCAAGCTGACACGCGTATTTCTTCACTGCAAATAAATCACAATTTAAGCATTCATGGCACTTACCAGAGTAAATGTTTATAACAACTGGAAATAAAGAAACCGGGTTTAACAATGTACCTAAATTTTAAATAGATTATTTGTATTTGAAAAGTTAAAAAGAGGTACAGGTATCATACAGATCGACGATGAAAGAGTTTACTTGCAAAAAAGATGTACGTCTTACGTGGTAAAACTGGAGCTGTATCGTTTTCATCAATACTTCCAAGTCCAGTCAAGATATCATCGGAAGTGTACCGATTTCTGAGTCTGATAAGTTCCTTTCAATATAAATGATCACGTTGAAGCTCATTTTTATAATGTCATGAGCATATGATTATGTTTATTATTTTTGTGCAATGTAATATCCTAGATATACATGTATGTTAAAAACCATGTAATGTATTTTTTTATTAACCTGTTTACAAATGAAACACTTAAAGCAGTACCCTTGATAAGGTAGTTTTAACATTATATAATAATTATATACCTCAAATTCGCTGAATAAAGGTGCATCAGATAGATTTCTTCCACAGTTTGCATAGATTGTCTGTTCCTGGTGTTCCTTTAGAAACTCATTTGGTGTTTTACACTTTGATATTCCTTTGAAGGACTCATACAACGCCAGATAGACAATTTTATATTGCTCCTTAAAAGTAAAGCAATTATATTCTAATAGTTGACTAAGTGCTTGTATATTTTTTTAAAACCCGCATTAAAACAGCTTGGAACCTTTTAAAACTTTTCTACTTCACTGTTTTATAGAATATCATAAGAAAATATATTCCTTTCGAAGTTTGGTTTGTTGTGAAATCGTTTGAAATTTTCGAAATGAATAAAAATCATTGGGAAAAGATAAATTTTGAAATATGTTTCCAGAACAACCATCCTTTCCGTACTAGTGGTACGGATATTTCATAAATTTTTTTATACGTGAGACAAGCACCAAATTTGGCACGAAGTTCATTGTCGAGTACCTGATAGGGTAAAATCGTCTTCCCTTCAAGTTAAGGACACTTTTAAAATGGCCACTATAATTTTTCAAAAATGCTTTATTTTTCATATTGTATATTTGGAATTTTTCAAAATTTATTTGCATAATATTTAATCAGAATTTGGATCAGCACACGATGAAAGAGTTATTTCAAAGGTATGTCCACTGCGCATGCGCTAAAGTACTGGTTGTTGTTGTTTTATAGAACCCAAAAGACCTAATCTTTAAAACAGTTACAGCAGCATAGAGAAGTACAAGGTAATTTTTACCGTATTCAAACAAGTAGAGAGATGTGTCGATAAAAAGTGCAGCCCTTGAGAGGATAAATGCAAACAAATTACAGTAAAACACCCTTAAACATGTAACGAAGTGCCAGGGACAGACAATTTTGCTTCCTTATAAACGTAATTCGGTATAACCGTTAAGTTTACAATTTTTGTTTCAAGCTACAGGGAAATAAAAATAACTTCGCTAAAAGCGTCAATTAGTTATAAGCGTGTTCGTTATAAGCGTGCTTTACTCTAGTGGTGAAGATATCAAGACGAGCGAAATTTACTTCATTTGATAGCCATAGTTGACCGTCGTGCATGACTTACTTAATCCTTCTTGAACATAGGGCCGTTCTCTGACCCTGTTTTGAGATGTTTTCCTTGCCTTGGTCCAATTTGTTCCAATTTCATCTACAAGTACATGTAATTTTATACATCTACTTATTTTACAGCTGTAGAATGGATGACCTCTTTTTCAATTACCGAGGGTTCATATCTAGAGGCTCTGTTTGTGGTAAATCTCTTTTTTCTCATTTTTTTTTTTTTTTTGCTTCACATTCTTTGCACATAATCCACACATTGTTTTCCAGTCCTCAATGTCTCTGTTCTTATATCAATTACTCTTTATTTTGTTGCTCATATTGAACACAGTTCATAGTGTTCGTCTTGTTTCCTTCACTTTTTTTGTATTCGGTCCTTTTCCTGAGTAAAGTATTATTTTTTACTCTGGTTTTAGTCTATTAAGTACTTTTTGAAGTGTTTGTTCATCTATCTAGCTGTTTCTCTGGATTTATCGACATTTTTCGTCCCATTTTTTTTTAACATTTTCTGGTTTGGCTTCACTAGTTCATCGAAATTTCGATGACTAAAGATGTTTTAAGAAACAGGACTATCTGACAGATATTTCTACCAAATTTAATGCTTGTCTCCACAAGTGAAATATTTTAGATATTTTGGTGATATTTGATGTTAGCCGCTAAACTGTACTTTTAATACCTCCTATCTAAATCATCTCAGAAGAGACACTTGTCACTATTAAAACAAACACCTCTTCTGATATGTTATCTAAATTGTCCAATCTGTTCCAATTTAATAAACTTTCTACATGTATCTACACTGATGAAATGAAGCCATCATATCTCTTCCTATTTACATTAGGTCCTTTCATATTTATCATAACTCACCCACACTTGTACCATGTTCATCCTGTTCCTTCTCATGGTTTCTACATACTTTGGTACATTAACTTTCCCTGATTTTAAACCTTCTCGATAGAGGGCGTCCAAAGCAATGAAAGTTCCAGTACGTCCTATTCCAGCGCTGGAATTATAATTAGAAAACAAACAAGTTTTACATGTATCAGCTTTTACTGAGAGAGAGAGAGAGAAAGAGAGAGAGAGAGAGAGAGCATTAAGAAATAATTAATGCCTGCAGTGCACAAGAATAAAATTCCCAAGATATGATTCAGAAATCTTCAACACATGGCGATGGAAAGTCACAAGGCAGAGTGGCTCTAGAATATCGTGGTCTGACCATTGTGTGTAATGACACATCATCACCATTAATTCTTTCTGGCCCTGGAATTTGAAAATATTTAATCTGTTAAATTGAAATACTTTTTCAAGAGCAAAGTATATTGCATAATATTTCTAGATTGAGGTTAACGTTAATTGCTGATTAAAAGGCAGATTATCTTTAAAAAGAGACTCACCTTCTTTACATAAATGCGTCTTATTGTATAATTGGCATACACTTTTTCATTCTTAGTACGGATAGTAAAGTGTCCAATTTTCATTATTTTGTTTGTATCTGGCCAGTACTGAGCACATTTAATCTACAATAACACAATACATGTATATTTTAAATCCCCCCGAAAGTACACTACACCTTTTCTTTTTACGTAATATTACATTCATATATATATATATATATATATATATATATATATATATATATATATATATATATATATATATATATATATATATATATATATATATATATATATATACAGGGTTCTCCACATTTCAAAATTTAACCATGGAGGAAGCTGCGCAAAGGCGAAATGTGACCGAAAACACGAATGCGTGTTAGACTTCCTAACCTTCATTAATCAATGATTTATTTCACAAAACTTAACCACTGCAACACAAAAAGTTGAAATAACCAATAATTTTTTTAAGCTAAAAAAATATAAATAAAAATAAAAGAGATTATTTATCTTACTTTACAAATTTACCAAAATTGGCCCATAACTGTAGGAACATTTTGAAGGAATTTCAAAAAAATATTTTGATAGAGTAACCATGGCAACATTATTCAAAAACTGAAATACAGAATTGATGTTGCCTGTTGAATGAAACGTTTTATTAAATATGACTAAAACTGATGAATGGGTGGTAATTTGAAAAAAAAAGTTAACAGACACATAAACGAACAGACGAACGAACACCGACATCCTATCAAAGCCCAAGCTTTTTTAACTGCATGGTCTATGGAAACTTACTGATGGCATACATGGTTAAAATGTAACTTAATATAACCAAGGGCATAAGTTTGACATAACTGTAATATTGCTTTCTCTGTTCTGCTTTTTTTTTCCCTAAATGTTCTTTTTTCTACATATTGCATTTTCGCCGAGTTTCCTCCATTGTTTACTTATCCACGTGCCCCAGTGCTAAAAATAGCGCCACGCTACGTTTCATAAAAACGAGAGGTAACTCTAAAACTAAGACGGCGATTGGCACTTGCGTACATTTTATCAAAAAGTTAATACTTAAAAACAAAGCATGAGGAATTGATTAAATACAAATTTTTAAAGAATAGGAAATTTTGAAAGGGTTAATTTTTTCTGGGCACAGAAACTTGCATCGGATGCGTTGTTATTGCTAGTTATGCCATCTTTTGTAAATCTGTTATCTTATAGTGGACACGTTGGAATTCCCCGAAATTACTTGTGTACAGGATATTTAACTCTCAAGATATTGATCATCAGCTGATTGACTCTCCATTGTCACGCTTCACAGCATTGTTGCCGATCAACGACCGTGTTTGTTTAGCACGGTCCGCTCTCTATCGAGGCATGCGAGGTGCATGGCTGTCGTAGTATAAACACAATTAACTACTCAAGTCATTAAAAAATAAGTGTCAATACTGAAATGCAAAAAAAAAATTTAATCATGGCGGCGGCCGATTTTGACCATGGCGCAGCTCGTTTAACCATGGCGCACATAAATTTAACCATGGCGGGCCGCCATGGTAAAACCCCTTGTGGAGAACCCTGTATATATATATATATATATATATATATATATATATATATATATATATATATATATATATATATATATATATATATATATATATATATATATATATATATATATATAGTCTTTAAAGTGAAATTTTGTTATTAAGATCTTTATAAGATATCACTAAATATAACTACATGTATTTAGTACCTTTACTCCATCAGATAGGGTTGTTAAGCACACAATGACCCTTACGTACTCTTGCCAAACCATGGACCAAAAGTCATATACTGTCTTTTCTTTTGGACCTAAAATAAGAATACAATTTATATTAATACGCAGATTTGTTAACATAATCTAAGCGAAAATCAACGTGAATATAATCGCCTTCAAAAGAGTTGTGATTAACTGCAATATACTCAAGTTTGTTACAATAATTAAGAAAAATTGTGTTTGTTTTGTTAAACGTTCCTTTTGAGGAATTTTCACACATATTGAGACGACACCACTTGCCGCTGGAGGGCTGCAAATTTTATACCTATACTAGGGACCATTAGCAGTGAGGGATATTTTTCGAGCTAGCACCTACTGGACACGGGACCTCGATTAATATCTTATCCGAAAGACCGGTCTCCAAGTCCCGCATTAGGATTCGAACCCGCGACGTAAGGATCAACTCATTACACAATAGCTCTAGAGCAAACGCTCTTACCACCGCGCTACATGTATGCGGGCGACTAAAATGTCAACAGGCAGTATAAATTTAAACATAAAGTCTGTAATACATCCCCCTGTTTCAAATCAAGTTTAGAATATCTTGACGTAAAAATCCATTGTAACGCTATACGAAGGTTGTTCAGAAATTAATGAGACATTATATTATTCTTTTTTGTAATGAACGCTCTTTGTTGAAAATTGGCATATGCGTTTGATAAACACTATGAATTCATAAGAGCAAGGAATGTTTTACATAAAAATGATTTCTTCTTTTCAATGGCATATTAAGGTGTCAAAGGTAGGGGTACCTGGTCCAGTCACAAAATCAGATATTAAAAATATGTAAAACGTACGTTCAAACTCCCGCTGAGTGCAAAATAAGAGCGAATATAAAGTAGATGTGTGTATGTAATTTTTCAGTTTTATTTTGACCTAATTTTGTGCGGGTTGGATAGAATTTCGTTCAGAAATACGAAGATAATGAAATAATTTAAGCACGGTATATAAATTTGATTACAATGACAAAATGAATTTGACGTCGAAACTGTGCAGAGAACGTGATTACTTTTTTTTTGGGGGGGGGGGGCTGTGGAAAACTCTTGTCTAGACTAAGGACATGTTTAAACAATAAAAATGCAAAAAACGTGTCTATTGGTTTGTTTTTAAGGAAGCGTATAAGTGTCATATACCATTTTTTTAATTTGGTTATTTCAACTTAAAAGTTGGCTTTTCCAACTTTTAATCTTGGAATTTCCAAATTTAAAGTTGTTTTTTTTTCAAATTTCAAGTTTTTAATTCCAACTTTAAAGTTGGTAGCTCCAACTTTATTCTTGGCTTTTCCAACATTAAAAGTGGCTTTTCTAACTTCAAAGTTGGTAATTCCAACTTCAAAGTTTGAAATTCCAGCCTTATTGTTGGCTTTTCGAACTTTAATGTTAGTTAGTAATAGTAATTAATAGTAATTAAGGTGGTGATTCCAACTTTATTCTTATTTTGGCTTTTTCAACTTTAATTTGAGCTCTTGTAGCCCTTTTCCTTGGCTTCTTGCCTTTCTTTTAAATTATTACCAGCTTCATTAATGCAAAATGAATACTGAAATGAATAATGAGATAGATTGGTGAGCAATTAATCTGTGTCAATTTATTTTTTTTTTTACCTTCACCTTCCCTATGACTTTACATATAAGTTCCAAATTTTAATAAAAACACTTATATTTCTTTTGATCCATCTTATATAATTACGTAAAGAATACCTTCATACAATCCCTTACATGACCGGATTTCAACAAAACCTATTGAAGAGATCAGTCATACATTTTTTTGTTGTTAAGAGAATAAGCAAATGAGACCAGTATTGAGTGTTTGATATAAAGGGCGAATCTACACTATATTACCGAACATGCTTCAGATTCAACAGAACTAAATGTATCTATTCAATATATGAAAACATAATGAAATAATTCCTTCTTTTTTCATTTAAATTTCATAATTAAATCGCTTCCTTCCATTGTAATTACATGCATAAAACGGCAACACGAGTCTAGCTACAAAGTACGTAGGACTGTTAAGGCGTACTACGAAGAAATCAACGGAATATAAACGTGCATAAATACATACCTTTTTAAACTGAATTTATTTTTGTAAAGCTACTATATTATCTCATGACTTTAATTGAAATAACATTTTATACCAGCTCTGTACGGAATTTAGTTTGGTCACGTTATTTGACAGTCACGTGATAAATTCATGTAATGTGTACTGTATGTAGGTCATAAACAGATTCCAATATCGCAAGGGCATACAATAGTTAGAATTAAAAATATCAGTAATAAATAGTATCAATATAACTTGTAGTTTATGGAAAGTACTGCTGCTTTAAATAGAATTCGCATTTTATTAGTTTAAATTTCAAGTTATTTGGCTCTAGTCGAGATATGTGTGACCTTTACCATTTACTTTATTCATTTATTTAGTAATGCTCTTGATTTCAGGAAAGCAGCAGCACTTTTCAAGTTAAGGCATGTTCCGTTATGCATATTCAAAAAATGGTCAAGATCTTTTAAGTGTATGCCCTTGCGAAAAGGCGATTTAATGAGGCACCTAGGTATGAAACATGCACACCCTGTACACAAAAACACCGTAGAATTAATTCAATGTATTCTCTCCATAGTTTTCAAATAATGGCACTAAACAAGGGTTTCAGATTTGTATTAATGGTGTACCTCAGATTTGTATATAATATTCTGTTTTAAAATAATCTGTTTTTCACTGTGGAAGAATTTCTTGATCCGCCTCTCACTGCACATAAAATGCGTCAAATTTTACCATGATGACGTCATGTCGACAAGTGCATTGCGATCAGTGACTTGTTTATATTGTGCTATTTAGGATTCAACTAGCGACAAAAATGAATGCAGTGGTAAGATTTGATGTAGTCCATCACTCTTATGCAGTTGAAAACCGCAAATTATTTAATTTTCTGTTGTTTTGAGGAACTGCTATATTTGTGTGATGTCACAGTAGACATTTCCCGTGTAAATTATGCCCAACCTCCTTTATGCAGCCTTAACAGAGCTGCGTATCTGAATATTACGCATAAAGCCGTTCAAAGATGGAAAAGCCAATATTAAAGTTGGAATCAACAACTTTAAAGTTGGCTTTTTCAACGTTAAAGTTGGAATTATCAACTTTAAAGTTGAAATAACCAATTTTAAAATTGGAAAAGCCAACTTTAAAAGTGAAAAAGCCAAGATAAAGTTGGAATATCTACTTTAAAGTTCGAAAAGCCAACTGTAAAGTTAGAATTACCAACTTAAAAAAAAATACCTGACACTAATACGCTTCCGTAGTTTTTTTCATAAATACACTGTATTTTTTTTTTATAACAAAAATTTCATCCACAGTTAAAACAAAGACTCCGAATGACCATCAAATAACGTTGACCCATGGTGCAAAAATCGACACTGCGTAATGCTAAGTCAACATGTAATTTGACACATTATGAAATTTATATTGAGGTAACACTAAACATTTTATTTTTTAAATAATCGTTTAAGAAAAGAGAGAATTTGATTTCACCGGGACTTATCTAATTATCCTTTAAATTACACATTTTGGACATTTGTCTCATTTGTTCGTGCTAAAATGTTGACGAATTTGCGCGAATTATTAAGTAAAGGTAAATGTCTCAATAACAAACCTTGTACCTAAAGTGTGAATCAAAGTGATTTTTTACCATCTATTCAGTAATGTACGTTGCGAATATCCGCGTTTTGTCACACATACCTTGAGTAGCTATATACGAAATTTCTTCCTGTGCATCCTGTATATCAATTATAGAAAAAATGTGAATTTAAAAAATGCACAATTAAAAGATGGATAAGAATATTCTGATTCAAAATCATCCTTTGATATTAAGACATCTGTGTGTAAATTATATTTACTGATAATATTCAGGGTTTTTTTTTTTAAGTTTGACTGATTGCAAAGTATAAACATTTGTGAATCACCAATTAATTACCTCGATGAAGTTAGCATTGATGTAGTCAGATTCATTTGGTAATGCTGTCTCAAGAACAACTCGGGAGTGGTCATCTGTTAATGAAAACCTTTTGATATAGAAAAAAAATTACACAGACACAGACACACACACACCCTCACACACACACACACACACACACAGAGAGAGAGAGAGAGAGAGAGAGAGAGAGAGAGAGAGAGAGAGAGATTTTGAAAAAAAAGATTTTGCTTTTTAACCTGAAAGTATACAACTTTTATACTTGCAAGGATAGATAGCTTTGAATCTGTTTTTCTCAATATTCTCCGGTCTCCTGGCCTCGATGTAAGGAAAAAGTTTTCCTTTTGTAATTTGCTAAAACAATATTTTTATTTTAATTTGTTTGATTTCATAACAATATATAAGAATTAAATTAGCAATACTAGTTCCCTACTGGCAAGTGTAATCTGGTTCCTGTTAAAAATTTTAAATGCCACAATTCCGTCAAAAATCATTGAATCGGAACGAATTGCAAACTTCATCTTTAACTTATCAAAGTAAAGTCTTATACCAAAAATCAACTCAATATCTGGGTTAAGAAGAAAATAGCGGAAACCCTTAAAAATTGAAAAGGTCGTAATTCCGTCAAAAATCAATGAACGAAATACAAACTGGATCTGTAACTCATCAAGATACACTCACTTACCAAAAAACAATTCAATATCTGCAAGTTTTGAGGAAAAATGAAAACCTAGTGGGACAGACAAAGGGAGAGAGAGCGGGACAGACGGACGGACGGACAGACGCAGATGGAACCTATAGTGTCCTCCGGTTTAACCGGTAGGGGACTAATAACCATGCTGTTCTCAGGATGATGAGACTGTACAGCAATAAGATTGGTATCAAAGTTATTAATATAAGAGATTGTTAAGTTCACAATTTGTATTCTTATCTTTCTTAATATTAAATATACATTAAGGACCCTCTCTACACCAGTGCAAAATGTTTTTTGTATATTGAGAAAAATATATTGTGTAAAGATGTTAATATTGAGCTCATCTATTTAATTTTTAATATATGGTACGTGCCATTTACCCCCAGGAAAAATGTTCAAACACAACACAGTATCAGTGAATAGAAATCACTGCTGTTACTTCCATAGAGACAATACATGTAAATAACATGTTTTGGCATTTTAAAATGTTAAGAATACTTGAATTAATTACAAAATGAGTAATATACTGTAAATTTCTTTCTTTTCTTTTTTTTTTTAGAATTTAGATCTAAGAGCAGATCACTCTAACTACATAAAAATACCATAGAATCAGAACTCTTTAGTTTG